TAATCTACGTTCAATATCACGATCAATAATCCACGATCAGATAACCCACGATCATTACTCTACGTTCATTAAATCCACGAATCATAAATCCACAGCAATTAAATCCACGATCAATAATTCCCGATCAATAACCACGTATCTGAATCCACGTCAATAATCACGATTCAATAATCCACGCATTCAATAATCACGATCAATAATCCACGATCAATAATCACGATCAATAATCCACGATCAATTAATCCGATAATAATGGATGATCATTAACGTTTCAAATGCATCGGCCTAGATTGAGCAGCATCCACATTCCACAATCACACTACATTTACTGACAGTAACCAGCGTCCCCTGCCCAGATGGCACTGGCGAGCGATGGTTTTCTTTAGAAGGAAGTCGAGCGCTCTCAGTGAAGTTTATGGTCCAGCATGGCAAACACACTGCAAGCTTCGAGAAACCAGCGACTGCAAACAATAAAAAAAATGCCCTTCAGAACGTGAACGACAAGCGTCTAGCGTCCGCCAATGAGGTGAAGCGATGGCCTGAAGCACCGCTTGCCTGGCAGTCAGAACGATTCCACACGTGAGCAAATTAAATTTAATTGACAAACACACCACTAGAGCTCCAAAACACGGTATTGGGAACGCGGCCGACGTTTCAAGATATGGTGACAGCCCTTGGCACTGCAATGTGTGCTTTATGGCTCTTAATTTCTCTCGTGTTCTTTGTATGGGAGGCGCGTCATCAAGAACAAGCAAAGAGATTTATTTGCTTAGTAGTATGACTTAACTCCTTTATACAAAGCGTCATATACATAATTACATACGAACACTGAATATACGCAACTGATGCGCACACACGCCCGATGCATGCACACACGCATGCATGCCAGGCACACACGCACGCTCCACCATACATGCACACACACTGCGGCACTCCTTGCCAGCAGACACAGACTAATGCGTCGTTACAGACAATTCGTACACACAGCACACGACCGCACACCGCACACGCACGCACGCACGCACGCACGCACGCACACACACACACGGTCACACACACACACACACCACGCACGCACGCACGCACGCACGCACGCACGCACGCACGCACGCACCGGCACTACCTTTTTCCTGCAGAGCACAGACTAATGCGTCTGTAGTATATTTTAAATGTTACCTTTTCGCGAACAGCTGCTGTTAGTCGCAGACACAGCTCCATAGCTTCCCGTTGTATTACAATCTGTAAAACAGTCATGCGATGCGTAATTACTGAATGCAGCTTCTGCTGTAATATCAACTGCAATATAATGCTTGCCCACCCTAAAGTGTAATTAGGGTAATTACTGTAATTAGGGTAATTAGGATAATATAATCAGGAGTGAATAATATTTCTAATATTCTATTAATAATTATTATTCACTCCTGATATAATGGATGAAGTTATTTGAAGCGAGGATTTCTCATGGTTTCACCGTTCTCGTATTTTCATATTATCTTGCAAAGAATGTCAAAATAGCGAGTAAAACATAATTAACTGATTGCATAAAAAAACACATAGCAAACCTAACAATAGCATAAATGTTTTCATTTCATGCAGTACAGACATTTGAACTTTCAATTACAAATAAGCAGAGATAACACTTCTCTGTATCTAATATATCATATTAATAATCATTCCTAAAGATAAAGTCGATTATTCTATTCATATAACATCACACAATGACACCATACCTGGTTTCTCATGATGATCCTATCCACCTCTCCCATGGCCGCTGTACATAGATCACACTTTATTGAAGCGGTGACAGTAGGCACCAACATCTGCAGCACTGCCACCTCTGGAAAACATTATTGAACACGCTTATTTATTTATTTATTTATTTTATTAATTTAAAGACGGTAACAGATAGTTGAATAGATGTTTATACTACGATAGATCAAAATTCCTAGGGTCTCCGACAGATACCGTGAAAGCCAGCCATATTACTGATGCTATGCAGTGCTGCGGGTGGGAGGTAACTCACCACGACGGCGATTCTTTACTGGACAGAGCTTCAGGATGGCGCAGGCCATATCTGGTGGCACTTTCGAGATGAGATTTTGCAGGAACTTGGCAGCCATTGGCATCAAGAGCTTGCACTATCGTAGATTATTACTATTATTACTATTGTTACTACATTATATGTTATATGTTAAGCAAATGTAGTAGAAATCCAACACAATGGTCTGTGTTCAAGACACGCGAGATATCAAAAACACAACAACAGAATAACGTATCCACACAGAGCTGCACCGAACCTGAGAGATACATGTAGCGACATGTGTCATAACCTACACAAGAGACTCTCTGCTATAGGAGCAACTCATCTAGTAACATGTGTGACAGCAGTTGTTGGTTACGAACACAATTGTCTAATTCAAAAGACGATTGTTGGAAGTACAGAATTCAATCAACTTGATAATTGCATACTGGTTCATACAGATCACAACAACAACCAATGACGTGCCCTTCCCAAGACCAGATGCACATAGCGACAAAACGTTCATTGCGCGGACCTTCCTGAATCGTTGATCACCCAACTGCGTATATTTTGCACTACATCCTCACATTGCACGTACCTCCTGTTTTTTGGTCTCATTCACAGGCAGACTGTCGCACACCTTCTCCAGTATGACTATCAGCTCGGCAACTGTTGTATTCTTCAATAGATAGCCATTGATGGTCTCGATGAAGAACTGGCAGAAGGAACAGCGTGCGTCATCCTGAAAGAAAGTTATCAATCGCGGAATTGCAGCTAACGTCGCATCATAACAAGGAATTCCATAGGCTACACTGGAGCTGAGAAGTCAGCAGGTTATTCCAGATCTTATAGTATATAAAAATTTGCCATTGTTTGCAAATGGACATTGACAAAAAATTATAGTTAAAGGTCACAGTGAACTCGCCCTTAAAAGACTCATTTAAATTCCTTTGAAACTATGATATATACATATTATCTGTATACTAATAATTTAATTTAATAATATTCATGCATTTAATTAAGCAGGTATTAATTGTAAGCGATTTTCACCTACCCTAATATGATCTATTATGGATTCATCCTTTGCCATTATAACTTCGTTTTGTTCTGATGCGAACAAGGCTTGCTTGGCCGGTGCACAAAGATGAAGTTGGGGACATAGAAACCTTGGTTTCTGAAGCATTGAGAAATTAGCACTTAGAAATATCACTTGCAATGTGAACATATTCACACTATATACATTTCCTAAACAGGGCAAAAATCAGGTGGGTATACAAATGATAAATGAGCGGTGAAAATCTGGTATTTTTGCCGAAAACCGACTCGAGATACGTAGTGGCTGC